AGTATGTGCAATATATTATTCTCTATATGTTATGTAAAACAATATCCATGACCCTCCTAAACATTGTAATTGACGTGACTTACATACGCATTTCCACACATAGTATTAAAAAGGAAAGCTGCTCAGCATGAATGTATCTTGAGGGCGCATTGGCAGCCGCTCCACTGCGGTGTTCCCTCTCCTTGCGTCTGTGTCTTATGAAGGCATCCTTCAAACTCTTCCACTTATTTTTTAGGATAGTGACTGTTGAAACAAAATTTAAAGATGAACTAATTAAATGTTGCTTTCATTTTTCATATCTTAGGTATTTAGCAACTCGACAGTCAATGGTCAGTCTGCACTATGCCTTCATGATCGGCAAATCAACATCATCAAAGAAACATGCTGTGCCATATGGGATGTCCTTCGTGATGTTGTGACGTCAAAACCAAACAAAGAGGAGTGGTTGAATATAGGGGACATTTTTGAGAAAACATGCAATTTTCCAAACTGTGTGGGAGCGCTAGACGGAAAGCATATCCATGTGATCAAACCGAGGGAGTGGCAGTCAGTTTTTTAATTATAAAAAAAATTTCAGTTGTACTTTTTGCCATAGCTGATGCCAACTTCTGCTTCAGGTACATTGATGTCGGATCATATGGAAGCAGCTCTGACTCGGCGGTATGCGCCCATTCGGACTTTGGACAAATGCTGCGTCAAAATGATCTGGACCTTCCGGGGAACACCACGCTGCCTGGCACCGGTGATGCTGCTATGCCTTTCGTCTTTGTAGGAGACGAGGCATTTGCTCTGGGTGAGCATCTTTTGAGGCCCTACTCAAGCCGTGGACTGAGTCTTTAATTATAGACTTACCTGAGCATGCAGGGTGGTGGAGTGTGCATTTGGCATACTTTCAAATAAATGGAGCTTTCTGCACTCTCCACTGAACCTCAAATTGGAGAACGCCATCTCTGCGGTGAAGACAGCTTGTGCCCTTCACAATTTTGTACGCCAGAGAGATGGATTCCTATTTGAGGATTCATTGGTGCATTCCATGGAGAGTACAAATTGGAGCGGCAGCCGTGGTACCACACATGGAGCCACCATTAGGGACCAGTTTGCTGCCTATTTTATGTCACCGGAGGGGGAGGTGTCATGGCAATTGCAAGCAATAAAATCCTGGATTATTAAAAATACTTGTATTCTCTGTGTTCAGTGTTTTATTAGAAGTGTATTTTTTTTATGAATAAAGTTTATTTGGATATAACTAACTACTGACCCTTCCTTTTTTTCATTTTCACAATTTGCTCGTTGGAATGCAGCGCATACCCATTCTGACAACACACACATTGTTAGCTGCTGATGGCATCTGGATTGTGCGTTCAGATTGCTCATTACATATGGGTGTAGTGTATACCCCTACTTTACAATTAATATATATATGTAGTTGTTATGAGGTCAACCAGTAGTTCTCAAATCAGAAACATTAGGCAAAATTCAAGGTTGTTCATCAACTCATGTGGAACTACAAATCACAGAATACACACCAAGTCAGGGTTTATGAACCTGCGGCATTCGATTGCTGTGTATATAGTCAGACACAACATACAATTGGCAGACATGTACACACGTAGATGTATACAATGAAACAAATAACCTTACGTATGGTAACACATGAACACTGCACACATGTCTCTTACCTTTTGCTTCTTTCACATTTTTACTCCAACTCTCCCAATCAGGCCATAACTTCTGTGCAATGTCTGCCCATGCCCGCTACCTGGTTCGCCGGTTCTTGTATCCAGCATCCTGCAGGTTATAGATGCAAGGCTTTTCATGCACCAGGCGTATGAATGCTTCTGTGTCGATCAGGCCACACACTGCAGATTCCTCCATCATGCTGCTGCTTCTAGGTCGCCCAAAAGTGTGCCGGTTGCCATGTGCGGAACGCGCGTTTTTGATGACGAAAACACGCAAACGCCCATTTCAGCGTGTTCACGTTAAAGTCTATGGCCGCAAACGCGCTGAAATACGCACCAAGGAAGCTCCTGTACTTTTTCCGGCGTAGGGCGTATTTCAGTGCGTCACTACGTGCTGTTATACGCCCAGGTGGGAACCATGCACATAACAAATAATGGGATTTCACTGTGAGTGTTTTACAGCGCGTTGATCAGCGCTGTAAAACGTCCAGGTGTGAACCAGGCCTAAGTCAGTTAAGCACATCAAGTTTACAAACAATTCTCAGATTTTCCAGCACAGTACAGACAAGGTTTATTATGGTAAACATACATTCCCAGTCCTCTTCTTAAAGTGGTAATTTACTTTTGAATGAAAAAAAATACCGTTTTTTCCATTATCATAGCATGGGTACCTGTATCTTTTAATAGTGCAAAGTTTCAAATATGGACAAACTCCCCGTTTTCCCCAATCTGTATATCTGAATGTAAGCCAAAAAAGAAGAAGAAAAGATGGGGCTTTAAAAGTGTCTACTAACTAATGCCAGGGAGTATGGTTCAACATAATGTCAAAAAATTATATATCTGAATGACCATCTGATCCATAGTGTGGCTCAGCCATCATTATTTATTTTTTTTGAAAAGGTGGCATTTACCTTTAATGTTATCTAACTCCAAGACATAGAAATTAAAAAAAAAAAAACTCTGGGGTAAGTGTTATTCCCTATAGTTCTCTTTAGGGTCATGGGAGGACATATACTAACTTCCTTCCATGGCCCAAAGCTCAGTGTATTGCGGGCAACTGAGAGCGCAGCAGCCAGGACGGATCTTGACAATACAGTCTGGATCCACCCAGCTGCCTGAATGACAGCCGGCTCTGCCTATCTATCTTATTTTTTTTGGCTGCTCATTATTTGTTCTCCTAAAACCCATGTCACACTAGCGATCCTGTTTCTGGTGGCAAATTGAAAGCAACAGGTTGTCTAAAAGGAGCAGAGAAAGCACTCACCTGCTGCTACAGCTTCACTCCCTTGATGAATAATCCAGTAAGATTTTGCTCTGTTGCCGCTTCTTTGGCTTCAGCTTTGCAGCCATCAAGGAACAATGCCATAGGAGCAGGAGAGTCCTCTCTTTGGTGATCCTCTTGCTAGTGATTTTGAGCTAGCAAATAAATTGCTAGTGTGACGTGGCCCTAAGCCAGCCTTTATGGCCATTCTAAACACTTGGCTACAAGCCGATGTCTATAGCTAGCTTCAGACATGGCATTCTTTCAAGCTCTTAATAAATACATTTAATGTAATTCTAAAGCAAAACCTTTTCCTTTTTAGGTATAGTAGGGAAGCTTTACAACCCATGTCAAGTTTATTTGTGTCTGGGGAGATGCAATCTATTTGTTCTGTTAACCATTGTTAAAAATAAATAAAATTGGAAAACATTTTAAACCCTGGGATAGTCAGTGGGTTAGGATTCTTCAAACAGGGCACTTGTTCTGGTGTCAACTGTCTAAGAGGGATTTACTTCACTTTGGAGAGATTTTCTCTGCCCTCCTTTTGTGTCTCTGGGACAGGAAATGAGTGAAAAATCTCAGTAACTGGACACTGACAGGAAAAAAACAAAAACCTGACAGTGTTTTAACCACTCCAAATTAAGAAAAAGAAAATCAAAAACAGTTTTTGCCTTTAACTTATATGTCAGGCGGGAAACTGACAACTTTCTGTCAAGTTTTTATTGAAATCTGTGCCCCCATTGAGGAGATTCACCCCTTTATTTGTACTGGTGACCAGTATAACCAAGAAAGAAAGTCAAGGGAATTCAGAGCAGGCAGGTGATTGGCTGCCGGCTGTGTTTGAAGATTTTCCGATCTGTTCCTCAGTTGATCAAGGGATGCCAGCCGAAAGGGTGCTGACAGCTGCACCCACTGTCGGAGTTTCGGACGGTTCCTCAAGGGCCAGCCAAAATTCCCACAGTGTATGGCCACCATAAGACTAGAATTCCCCTCACTTTGAGAGTCTTACTCTAACTTCCTGTTGCATCCCTGGGACAAGTGAAGGGAAATCTCCCCAATGGTACACAGACAGCTTAAAATATACTGCGAGGGGTATTAACCCTTCCTTGCTGTAGCCAAATATAAAGAAAATGTTGTCTATAAATACACTTTAAAGCATAACTAAAACTATGGGAAAAAATGCAATATATTGCAGCTTACCAGTCCTTAGATATGGTGGTTGCATTCGTTTTCATTTATCAGGCTAAGAACATTTTCAGCAAGTACAGAAATTACATGTTCATCTTGTCAGAAATACAATATGCTTGTCACAGCCTGTAAGATAAACTGGAAGCAAATACAATCTCATCTTTTTTTTTGTGTAAATTTCTAATCCCATCATCCACCATGTAATGGAGATTAACCAGTTGACATCCGCGGTGTTAAACCCCCTTCCCATCCAGGCCATTTTTCAGTATTCAGCGCTGCGGTAAGACTGCGGCGTCTCAGTATACCGCAAGCTGTAGCTAGCATTATACTGAGCTTAGGGTGACGGGAGGACGCTAGTTTGTGTCCTCCCGTTACCCTAAGGAGAACTATGGGGAAAAGCCCTAACCCAATAGTTCTCCTTTAATAAAAGGTAGACATGTTCCAAGTCCAGCCTGAGTGACAACTATGGCTATGACTATAGATACAGTGGAGGAATGAGAGTAGCTACCCAGGGACAGGAAGTGTGTTACTGGAAGGATCTCTAGGTGACAAAGAAAGGGAAAAGACCTGAAAGAAGGAATGGTAAACTATAAATATAGTCCGGTTTGGGGTTTACATACCCAACATAGAAAACAAAAAGATATCAGCCTTAGAATATATCAGTGACACCACACACAAAACGCTGAGCACGTTCACACGCTTCATTTTCTGAATTAAGAAAAAACCCAATATCGTATAAGCCATGTCATATGAAGCATAGGTGATCGTCCACGTCTGATTTCCATACTGCAGCCGGACGTGCAGCCTGCCACCGTACAGACGAGGGATCTGCTCTGATAGAACAAGGCCGGCCTTTCTGTGCAGGAGCTTACCTTCTCCGTACAGCCGTGTAAAGCCTCTAGAATCCCCCGCAGCGCCTCCTCAAAACGCGGCTCGCTCGCCGCCGCCGCCGCTCGCTCCACCTTAGCTGCCATTATTCCGTAAGAGGCTTCTGCCCAGCTTCACACACGACTAGGCCACGGGCTACCAGAAACCATAGCAACGGTAGAACGCGACCGGCGCACGCTTGGTGACGTCAAAGACGCAGTGATTGGCTGCCTGATCTAAGAACAGCCGCTGAGAGCTAGGGTAGATTGCGGGCTGATCTGTCATCAGGTGTTGCTTGGTACAGTCAGTGGAGTTTTTCCCGGTAAGGGGTAAAGGTGCTGCAGTCAATGTGACTGAAATAAACAGTACAGTGAAGTGCATTTATAATACTAGTATCGAATCCCTTGCAGCCAGATTCCCCTGCTTTGCAGAGCTACAAGTGTCAATAGACTATGCAGTGTTTTCTCCCCAACACAGCAGTGTGCGGCAGGGAGGCGAAGGTATCCGACACACCTTGAAATGTCAGATGCTGAGGTGTCTACTGGCTCTTATGCCATTTCAAGAAAGTGAATATGGGCTGCCAGGGAATCGGTCACAGCAAGTATTATAGTTTAAAGTGACATTAAAGTCAGCCCTTCCCCCCCGCCCGCTGCTTTAAGGACTTATCTTTAGTGATGCCTCTTGATCAGAACATCTTCATGCCAGTCACTTTCAGCAGTCCCTCCAGCGCTGGTGCCGATCTCTGATCCAGCGCAGACTTCAGTGTCTTCCTTTCCCACGAAGACTGTCTGGCGTGCACGCTCACAGCTGTGTGCATTGACTTGCACTGTAGATCTCCTCCTCTCCCTGCCGGTGATCTCCACTGCGCATGCACCCGCACACATCCTCCTGCATGGCCGCTTGTGAATCTGGATTCTACAGCCGGGAGCGAGACACAGGTAAGTTTTTATATATTTGGTAACTTTTTTTATTTTTTTAAATATTTTTGCATATACCTACTGCTTGCTAGCAGAAGGTATATGTAAAATAAGTAGAGCTGCAACAACTAATCGATTAAATCGATGATGAGAATAGTTGGCAACTATTCCCATCATCGATTCGTTGATTTTCGATTAGTTGCTGGCAGCAGAGGTAAGAGGGGGGAGCAGATGGGGATTTCAGAGTCACTGGCCGCAGTCTCTTCTCCCTGTCTAAGACCTGTCCCTTACCTGTCTAAGACCCTTTCACAGACCGCTGTAGAGGGGAGAAGAGACTGCGGCCAGTGACTCTGAAATCCCCCGCTGAACCCCCCCCTTGTACCTCTGCTGCTGCTGCTCCTCTGTCCTTCCGTCCGTTAAGACAGGTCACAGTGTTACAAGGGTCCGCTCCTTTTCCACTTGATTAACCTGCTTCCTTTTGGTTATATATCTCAAAGTGTCAGCTGTCCATGCTCCTTATTTGTCTAATAATGCACTCCCCAGACGTACCCAGAAGTTTTTCGCTCTTAATCAAAGAAGGGAAGGTCCGTTTTGTGTGCAGTCAAGATTTACGGCTTCTCTCCTCACTTCCCCTTTGAACACACAGAACGGACCTTCCCTTCTTTGATTAAGACCGAAAACTTCTGGGTACGTCTGGTGAGCGCATTATTAAACGTATAAGGAGCACGGACAGCTGACACTTTGAGATATATAACCAAAAGGAAACCGTTTAATCAAGTGGAAAAGGAGCGGACACTTGTAACAATAACCAGCCTGCTATTGGATATTTTAAATTGCAATAGCCAATAGTAGGCTGGCTATTGCACCCGCCCACTGCCTGCTATTAATCAGCAGAGAAGGACCTGATGGCCTCAGCAGCTGAATCCAGTGAAGTGGAAAGTTGACACTAGGGGTCTAAAAGACCACTAATGTCACCTTAAAAAGAACCTGTCACCTCCAATGTGCCATCACATAGGGGGCTTGTTAGCCCCCCCATGTGATAGCAATTAGGTAAAACAACAACAAAAAATGTAAAAAATCCCCCAACCCTGCAAACGCGCGTATACTAACAGAAACACAAGTCAGTTGCACCCACATAGAAAAACGATGATTGCCCTACATATGTCAGGTATCGCCACATATTTTACTTTAAAATATTTTTTTTTTTAAATCCAAGTAATCGATTAATCGAAGTTAATAATCGGCTAACTAATCGATTATGAAAATAATCGTTAGCTGCAGCCCTAATACAATCTCCATATCACACTGAAAACTAGATGGGAAAATAAAGCTCTGTTTTACTTCTTGTATTTTTTTTTACAATAAGGATATAAGATAGGATAGGATAAACTAGCGTTCTGCTTGACATTAATGACAAAGCCTTTAAATGCATGCAAGGAGCACAGCCTACCTTCTCAGGACTTTAGAATTTCTTCTAAGCATGGCATTGCTTGGGGTGGGAGCTCATTTTGTTAATCTGTTTGTAAGAGAAAGATTCCAAATCAAATCCACTGAAGGCTCTCCACCAGGGGCTGACTGGCAACTTTTAGCCCAGGGGGCAACTCCACTGTCTTGCACATACAGCCGGATGTGTCAAAGTTTCAATGTCAGATGCCAAGAAGTCCCTCGCAGCTACCAATAAAATTTGACTTGGAAGTCTGTGATTACATACACAAAGACAAAATGAAACAGCCGAGATTTCGGAAAGTTGGCTGCCCACATCACATGTATGGTGCTTTCTGGATTCGAGATGTTTTTAATACCAGAAGCAGTTCTGTGACTTTTTCCACTGTTTACAGCAAACATTTCCATTTTCTTTGCCAATATTTGCAGAAATTGCTTATAAATATTAACTATTCCACAACAACAACAATAATAATAATAACTTAGTGGTGCATAATTAGTAAACAAAAACTCTGCTCCAGTCATTCTAACAAGACCCAGTTATACCCCCATTAGGTACTGCCATACTGCCTCTTGCACAGCTAGGTGAAACCAAACTGTCAGTCACAGCCAGCACATCTGACCCTCCTGTCTCCCAGCCCTATAGGAGTCTATGGTGTTCTACCATGCATGCGTAGGAAGCAGGACCCGGACCCGGACCCAGCATTTGGTGACAGTGATGCTAATTTCCAGTGATCCCATCAGCAATCAGAAATCTCCCATTGCTAATAACGTGTTCTCTGGATATGTCAGTGGCCAAAGGGAGAGTTTCAATAGTACAGTAAACTCCCCATTATCTGGCATTCAAGCAACCTGCAAAAAAAAATCAAGGACATAATAAGCACACTAAATAAATGTCGGTTGCTTGGTGCACACTAATTAATTTTGTTAGCAACTCAATTTATTTACTTGCTAACAAAATTCTTTGTTTACATCTTGCTTCCGGCTGGCGGCTAGATTCCGCGGACAGCAGGAGAATGTAAACAATGGGGAGCAATAGCCAGCCTGCTATTGGCTATTCAAATTGCAATAGCCAATAGCAGGCTGGCTATTGTACCCGCCCACTAAGCAAAGGAGCAGAATTCACTTAATCTCTCAGCTCCACTCCTCTGCTCAGTGGTCTAGGTTTCAATAGTCAGCCTGCCATTGGCTATTTCAAACTGCAATAGCCGATAGCAGGCTGGCTATTGCACCCACCTACTAAGCAGAGGAGGAGACCTGAGAGAGAGCTTTCTCTCTCAGGTCCCCTCCTCTGCTCAGTGGGAGGGGTTCTAAAAGCCAGCCTGCCATTGCAATTTGAAATAGCCAATAGCAGCCTGTCTATTGCTCCCGACTGCTTACATTCACCTGTCTGCTGCAGAAGCTAGCTGGCAGGTAAATGTTGCCACGGGGGAGGGGGAGGGGCACCGCGGGGGGCTGCTTGAGAGTTATTATTGACTCTCAAGCAACAAAAAACTACAGTTATCTGGCACCAACCGATCCCCATAGGTGCCGGATAACTGGGAGTTTGCTGTATTAAATTCTCATACTTTTTTTTCAATGATGAATCTAGATCAAACAAATATTCATTGCCCACCAAAGTATTTCATTACATTTTTGCCAAAGCACTTACAGTCACCATGTTTGAGAACAGCTGGCTCCAACTCTCTCAGCTACACTTCTTGTCCAGTACCGGATAATAAGGGACAGCACAGTCTCCAGCAGATGTCCATCTACTATCTTGGAGCAGAAAGAAGGAAGAGCAGGAAACAGGGAAATTGCTTGCCTTGCAGTACCTGTGCATTTGTGGAGACACACACAGCTTTCTAGCACACACAAGGGTGGCTCCATAGGATCCTGCAAGGGAAAGGAGCCCCTAAAACAGAATATCAAGGCCAGTATTCAGGGGACCATCTGAATCTGAAGGAAACTAAAACTTGTAAACATCAAGGAGCAGCATCCACTGTAAGTGATTAAAACAGCATTTGAAATATCTTTAAAACATTTTAACGTTAATATCACTTTAAAAAAAGATGATGGATTAGCTGTTAATGTTTGACATGAAATCAAACATACATTGCATGCAGGAATCAACACTGTTCAGCCTCATGGCACAGAGAAAAAAGGAGCATGAAGCTGAACAGCTGAAGGAGTGGCTCATGATGTGCATGCTTGGGGAATGGAATGGTTCCCTTTAATTACATTTCTAAATAAATATGTATAACTTTTTTATAGCTAAAGATTTTTTTTTTATAACTATAGCTTAAAAAGACGTTATGGCACTTCGTATTCTGCAACCATGACCATCTAATGGCTTCAGTGCTTTTTGAGACACTGACCCAGAACAAAAATTAAGTTCAAGTGTTCTGACATTAATCTGATCTGCATGCTTGTTCAATTGCAATGATCCAGATTGTACTAAAACTGGGGACAGCCGGATAACTGATGTTTTAAAGGTGCCCACACACCAATCGTACGATAATCGCGGGAAATACAGCAATCGTACGATTATCGTAAGGTGTGTGGGAGCCGTGCGACCTCTGCTACTGTAAGGTCGCACGACTTTTATCTTAGGAACATGTTCGAAAACCCGCCGAGAATCGTACGATTTTCAGCGGGTGTGTAGCATGTTCGTAAGATAAAAGCCAGACGGGCCGGTGTGCGCACTGCCCGTTCAGCATTGCGGTCATCGGAAGCCCGCCCCTCAGCG